GTAAGAAGGATCTTGGATCTCATTGCACAGAAGTGTCTTCTTGAAACTCTCCCACTCACTCTGAGCTTTCTAGAATTGTTTGAACTATTTCTTGAAGGTTGTGTGGGAGTTAACTGAGTGAAGAAGATAAGAAAGGTATTCCAGACTGGAGAAACAGCATGTGCAAAGCACCATGCACGAAAGGCACAATAGCTACATGTAACTGTCTTGATGATGTTTGTTATGCTCTTCTCAATATCAAGAGTCTTTACATTGGAGGTTAAAAATAAAGAATAACAGATGGGTAGTTGTGGATTTCACCTCCATCTTCCCAAACCGAGTGATTCTGTCTTTTGGCTCATTTTTGTATACCAAGGACAGCTAAAGCTGACTTTCTTGTTTTCAATATTATCTATAAAACTTTATCTCTCCTTTGACATTCATTTCTTAGTGTTAGTCTTAGAGGTCTATGAAATTCTCTTTTATTTATAAAGATGAGCTCTTCAAAAAATCCATATAATTTCTTTAGATATTCCTTCTTTATTCCCTTAGATATTTATTCTTTATTTATACATAGGTTTAATTTTTGTTTTGTTTATCCTTTTTTCTCTTAAAAATATTTTTGGGGGTGGAAAGGCAAAGGAGGAGGTTCTAGACATCACATCATGCCTATACTTTGCCTACTTTTTAAATAAATGCTCTAAAAACCTGCATGTCTGTTTGAGAATCTCCAATAGACAATTTTTATACTTTTATGAACTCACAGGTAACATGGCAGAAACTGCTGCTTGTGTCTCCCCAGTATTTAATATTTTTCTTTATTTTCTGAGTGAAAAAGTCCACAAATTTTACCAGAACACATAATAAAGACCATATTTTCAGCCTCTTGTAGCAAAGCATGTTCTTGGGCCTAAATTTTGACAAATTTAATGTAAATAGAGATTATGTATATGCAGAAAGTGTCCTTAAAGGAAGGTGACATAAGCTTCTTTAATGAGGATGAAATGATTGGAGCTTTAGCAGTCATCTTGGACTAGGGTGAAGATGAACACATCAGAAACGCAGTAGTAATAAAGAAGATAAAGTAATAGCCAGCAGTATATTTAGTACTTACTATGTAGCAAGAATGATTCTTCACACTTTATATGTATTAATTTATACATGCTTCTCAACAATCATATAAACTAGGGATCTCAATTTCTTCATCCTAAATAGTACTTAAGAGCAGGAATCATGCAGATGCATTGCCTGGGCCAGCATTTTGATCCTGCATTATACAATTGGTACCTTATTTAGCAAGTAAGGAGTTAAGAATAGAGTCTGAAAATGAGAAGCACTCATTAAACATTAGCTACTATTACTTTTGAGTAGTTATTACAAATTACTATCCACAGTTCCAATTAACAATTTTCATTAAAGTAATTTATAGTTAGTGATTATAAATCTATTTACAGATGTAGAAATTGAGGCAGAGGGAGATGAAGTGACTTGCCAAAGATTAAATAACTAGGAAGTGGTGAAGTTGGGCTATCTGTGCTCTTAACCTGTTCTATTCTGAATGAAAAGCTGAAACGAGCCTGGGACCTGCACTTGGGATCTCGCTACACGAATCCTGGTGAGCTGACCTCTGTACCTTTTAGCAAAGAATGAAATCTTATGCACTAAACTAGTTAATTTGAGTGTTCTGTTGCATGCAGCTAAACTTAATTCTAACTATAAGATGTCTTAATTTCCCCCAAGATTGCTGTCACTGCTAGATCATTAAGCAATTCTTCCTTATGTTTCAAAGTGAAGTTCAGAGTAACAATTCTTGTTACCCTTTCTATATTTTGTGAGATAAAATTATGAGCAACACTAGTGAAGAATCTCCCAGGAAGTTTGGTTGATTTTTAACAGAGTTGATGTCCCCACAGCTATGTGGATAGATCCAGGCCCCACAGCTGTATCAGCATCTTTCCTAGCCCATTTTATCAGCTGTATTAGGAAATAATCATTCACATTCCCTACAGGCTCAGACATTTAATAGTACACTTCTCTCAGGGCGGCACCAGAGTTCTCTCACTTTTTATTTTCAACCAGTTTTAAGAACATTTTTATCTTTTTTATCATAGGTGCCTGACTAGTTTATGTCCAGGGCTTCTTGTTGCTAAACTCATGCCTTAAAATTCAGTGTGTTTTGAGAAATCATGAACTTCTTCATTTAACATAAAGTGTTAGTTCTTCACCAATTCTGCTGGGATTATTTCATAAAAATATAATTGGATTTGAATCTTGCTTTTCAATTTTAGGTGTCAGGTCCTGTTGAAAAATGTTTAGTATAAAATAGCATAAGTAAAAAATAGAGTAAAATAATGAAGAAATTATTAAAATTTAAACTAATAAATTTAGAGGTATAGTGAAATCTATTACTTTGTATTTGTTCCATCTGATGATGCTATTAGATAATGATCTTTAGCTGTTGCATAGAGATTCATCTATAGCTGTTGTAATTTTAGGCAGTTTAAATGATCTAAGCTAGGTATAGAAATTCACATTAGCACATTTTAATAATTTGCTTAATTTTATTTTTATAACTCTTCTCAGAAATGTGAAGCTGGAAAATTCATTATCAGCACTTGAACATGAGGTAAAAATGAAAAAGTACTACTTGGTGTACATTTTATTTCAGAATAACCAAATAGAGTATCTTTTGAAAGCTCATCTGTTTTTTGTTACTGCTTCTTAGGCAGATAACCACAAATATGATTTCATTTAAAGTAGAATCTTCTCAGATATACTCTGAGGTATAGCACCAACACACTAAAGTAAATACCACAAAACATCCTTTGCCTTTGAAACATAACTGCTGTCATAATGACCATGTGCTGGATGTAGGTTTCGAACACCCAGTGACCTCTGACATTTATGACAAATTATGTACCAAAGTGCTAGCGATGCCTTGTTAAAATGAAGCCAGAGGCCCTCAAGATCTCAACCCCTCTTGTCTTTAAAAGCATGGGTTAAATGGCAGCAAGAGGCAGATTGGACAGAAAACAGACATGGCAAAAGCTAAAAGGAAATAAAATCCTCATCCTCTAGCCTTTGACTTTTGCAGCTAGCTGCACTGCAATGTGCTTTCAACCATTAAACTACCTTAACCTTCGGAAGAACCAAGCCAGTTAAAATTGACTGAAAATTTGCACATCGCCACACAAGATTTGATTGATTCTTATTTGGAAATTGCATGGAGGACAGTCACTTATTGTAATATTTTTAACCAATAAAATGTTTCTCAGTCACCTTTGGTGCACAATGAAATTGATGTCATATAAAAAGCAACATGAAGAACACTTTTCAAAGTCAGAAAGTTAGTCTTGCTGTGAAACACAGTAGCACCAGTTGAATGTAGTCAGAGCAGGCTAAAGTGTAAATGTTTTTTATAAAATACATTAAAAATTTATGTTTTGGACCATAATTCCAAAGATATACACACTAATTGTATACACATGAGATAAACCAAAGTTTGTATTTAGCATAAAAAATCTGTATTTTTTGTAAAGGTAATTATTTTGTTGTTATCTAGTCAGAAAAAAATGATGTAAGGTGAGTAGGGAAAGGATGGATTCTACTCTCTTCCCACTAAAAAAAAAAATTACTTGTAGGAAAAGTAGGGGTTCTAAGAATAGAACATATCGCCTTTTTTTTTTTTTTTTTTTTTTTTTGACTTATCCATGTAAAACAGACTGTATGACCCTTGGCATCAAAAATTAGAATCTGAGCAAGAAACCCATGGAAAACGAAGGCATTTATTTATGCAATGCAAAAACCTACATCATACCTCCAGGCTTGTCTAAACAGTAGTTTACCTATTTTTTTTAATGAGAAAACTTTTGTAACTTTGTTTTGTTGGAGATATCATTGATAGCTTTGAGAACTGCTTTAAATAAAATGCTAGCTTGTTCAAAGGAGAATTCATTAACAAGAAAAATCAACTTATAATTAAGTTTAATACTGTGTATGGGGAGGAAAAGTCAAACCTCAGTCGACAGGTTTGACTCTTCAAATTGGATTAAATGATAAATAAAAGGAATACTAGAATTACCCCCACAATCATGATTCTTTTGGGTGTGTATTATAAGCTGTATTTTTCTTATCTTTTGTCTGGACTACTTTTAGATGGCATGGGCCACACATTTAGATAAGTTTTCACTATTCTCTCTTAATATAATTTTATAAGGTGTGGGTGCCTATATAAAACATGCACATAAATATATGAATATGTCTGTATATATGTAGACATATTTTATAATTATAACTTCATAGTGTTTTATTTGGATGTTCTAATTGGCATTTCAGAGACAAAATGTGATCTTAGGCAGCTTGTCTGCAATATATTTCCACTTCCTTTCCACTTCCTTTCTGCCTTTACATTTCAGCAAATTGTCTTTCTCTCATCCAATGCCTTTGTCTACTTTGTCCCTACAAAGACCACTGCCTCCTTTTGCCCCTTTCCCACTACTTATCATCTAAATTGGCATCTGTGATGCAGTCCCCAGGACACATTTTCGGTTTGGATCACACCAATGAGTACAATGGGCCCTTAGAGACTTTTCATGGAATTGTTTGATAGGACTTTTAGAGATCATATAAAACAGTGATTTTCCACATATAAGTTTTTTAAATTAATGGAACCCCTTTTACTTTTCCAAAGATATCTGTGGTTGAAATATAAGTGAGAGTATTAAAGCTCTGATCATTCATCTTGACTTCCTTCTCCATGAAGATCTTTCCAGCTAATGTGGCTTACAAAGAAATCTATGAAAAGAGTTTGAAAAGCCCTGATATAATCCAACTGTACAGACATAAGACTAAATTTACAAGGAGTGAAGGGACTTTGGCTTCTTGTCTGAAATTTTGCCCCTTACTCAACCTCATTATACTTTAACACCCCTTTCCTGGGACTCCTGCTCTGTCATGATCTCACCGCCTCCTCTTAGATAAAGTCATTGAATACTAGTATGTTGTCATATACTTTTTCTCAGAGTTTTTAAAGAATACTTCGCTGAAATGATGCCATCAGGAAGGAGACATTTTTACCTCTGTCACCTATCAACGTGAGACCATAGCAGGTAACAATTAAATGTTAACATAAGTCATTATTTTCTTTAGAATTGACAAGAATTACTATACAGCCTGAGACTGGCAGAAATAGAACTAAAGTGAGCAGTTTTCTAATCTTTATTGTAACAATTTATTATGTGATTTTACTTGAGACACCTTTCCAATAAGACTTGTGAATCAAAATCTTTATGTCAGTACCCAACTCAATAAGGTTGAATGAGAATTTCAAATGTGAAATAAAATAAAATAAAATAGATTTACTTATGCTGAAGAAGTTACATTGTACTTGCTTTGTGGTTAAATTTGTCTGTTAATACTTGTGACTGCCAAAACTATATTTTCCCCTGGGGATTTTGTTTTCCTGCATTAGTATTTTCCAATCTTAGTCTTGGCTGGTAGATGAGAATATTTGCCCTACCCTCCTCATCTGCTATAATTGTTGTTTCTTATTCTGTAACAAATGTGCCTCTACCATCCATTCCTAAGACTTTATACCTCTACTGTCTACCCATTGGCTCAATACTATGGAGAAGAAATTGTGGTACCCTAGGACTGTCTGAAATAGAATGGCTTCTTTTTAAAATATAAAAATTCCTTCTTGTTGGTGGGTTCAAATAGAAGGTGGCTATCCACTATCTGGACAGGAATTTATTCTTCGAGTCAAGAGGCGAGCACATGTTTCCACTATTAAATGTACCAGTATATTCATATCTATATCCAAAAGCTCTGCCTTTCCCTATTTCTAAGATAAAACTCTGCACTTGCACCGTCATCACATCTCTTATCTATTCAAAGATATCACTCCAGCAGTTCTCCCTATATCTCCTGCATCTTTACTGTTCCCTTAAACTGTGCAAATGCAATGTAACATCCTCCACCTTTAACACAAATCCTTCCTTTGAACTGTCTTCACTGCCTATCTCTGTCTACTTACCATGCCATTTCTTTCCTCTGCCTTGCAGCAAAACTCCTAGAAATAGATCCTAGAGGCATCTCAATTTCCTCTCTTTTCTTTCCATTATTTTTTTCTTGAATCAACTCCAGTCAGTCTTTTTGTTATTCTGAAACTGCTTACAGCAAAATCTCCTGGATCGTTTATGGGCTGAGCCAGTCTCAGAATTATCTTGCCGAAGAATAGGAGACTGAGGCCTTTGTAATCCCCGTATCCCATCTTCTCTTTACCAAGAATTACCTCTGTGGTCTTTGATTCCATACACCACCACAAGAGCTGAGTGAGCTTTTCCACTTTGTAAGAAGTCTGGAGGCAGTAAAGCAGAAAAACTTGGAAGGCTGTTAGCATGTACTGAAACTGTCCACCACAGCTCAGCTGAGCCTAAAAATTGGTCAAGGAGATATGATAGGACACAAAAAGTATCTGCTTAGACCCTTTTTCTGTTTGCTCTTTTTCTCTTTTCATCAAACTTCCTTATCTCCTAACCTTTAAATTAGTGTGTGCCAAGAATGAATCTTTAGACCTTTTCTCTTTTCTAATTGTATTCACTATTTATGTTACCTTACTCAGCCCAATGACTTCAAAATCATGTTTATGATGTTAAATTCCAATTTTACATTTACATTTTTTTCTGAACTCTAGATCCATATGGAAGGTACCCACTCAAAATCTCTACTGGAGATTAGCTCAAAACCAAACTATTGACATAAATTTACCTTATAACTCAGAAATTTTCCTCCAAGGAATCTACCCAGGTGAAGTAAATACATACAACTATATGCAGACTTGTACATGAATGTTCAATGTTGCATTATTTCTAATAGCTGCAAACTGGAAACAATCCAATTAGTGATCTATCCATACAATGGAATACAATTCTGCAATAAGAAGGTACGAAGAGTTGATATATGCTATAACATAGGTGAACCTCAAAACATAATACTTAGTAGAAGAAACTAGGCACAAAAGACAATATATTGTAGATTCCGTTTGTTGGAACCCAATTGTCGATTCCCTCCTGGGCAGGGGTCGCCGCGAAGGATCACCGACACGAGATTCACAGCAGAGAGTTATTTATTACTAGCGCGCTAGGGTCCCAAGCTCTAAGTTGGCCCTGGGACCCCGAGTGCTTGTTACAGGTTGTTTATATAGGCAAACACAAGTTCAAACACAGCTTAGGGCGCGAAATTCAAACAAAGCTTTAGGGGCGTGGTAATTGGGTCTGTCTATGGCCTGAGCAAGGTATCTTGTTCTGATTGGTTGGGGTGGGACCTTAGGAGGTTCTTTCCTGGAATTGCTGATTCCGGGAACATTGGGGACATTGAGTCAGGGTGGGACCCAATGAGGTTATCAGGGTGGGACCTCATGAGGCTATTTCCCGGAATTGTCTTTCTGTTGGGTTCTGGGAACATCGGGGGGCTATCCGTGGCCATCTGGGGTTTAAGTTTCATGATGGCCAAGCTTTCTAAATTTTATGAGGCTTAGGAATTATGAGGCCTAGTTTCACGTTTACATGGAATGTTCAGGAAAGACAAATCTATAGAGACAGAAAGTAATTTTGTGGTTGCCAAGGGACTGAGGTGGATACACGGAATCACTGCAAATAGGCTAAAATAATTTTTTCGGGGGGGGTGAAAATATTCTGCAATTAGATTGTATTTGTGGTTGCACGACTCTAAATTTACTAAAAATCATGAAATGCTATTGTTCAAATGGATGAAATTTATGGTAGGGAAAATACACATCAATCAAAATTTTTAACTCAAGATCTTATGCCTCAATTTTTTTCCTCCTCTAATCATCTCCATTTCTGGAAATGTCAGCTCTGTTTTCCTAGTTACTTAGGCAATAAATCTGGGAATATTTTTTGACTCTTTTCTTTCTTTTTCATCACAAATCTAATCTGTCACCTCTACTACTGGTAACTTCCTCACTACTTTCTACTGCTACCTTCTCTTCTCCACTACCGCTCTGGCAAGCTACCATCATCTCTTGCCTTGACTGTAACAATAGCCCTCTTGCCAGTCTTCATGTGATTATCCTTACCACTTTATTATTTATTTGCCATACAAGCAATTATTCTACTTCTTCATTCAAAATACTTCAGCACAATTCCTTGTCAGAGTAAAATGCAAAGATGTCACCACGTTAAAGTTTCCAGATAAAATACAGGATACCTTGTTAAATATGAATTTCAAGTGAACAACAAATACTTTTTTAATGCCTGTGTGTGATACAATATGAGGGACATAGATATATTGAAAATATTAGCTGTTTATCTAAAATTCAAATTTAACTGGACACTCGGTGCCCTTATGTCCTAAATCTAGCAAAACTACATCTTGGTCAAAAGGGTACTCCATGATCTGGCCTTCCATTGTCACTCTGGTCTCATTTTCCTCCTCACGCCTCTTAATCAAGCTAATATGGCCTTTTCGTTGATTTTCAGACGGGTGAAGTATATTCTTACTGTAGGACCTTTACACTTGGTCTTCCCTGTACCTGCAAAACTCTTTCCCCAAGTATCAAGTGTAGTTTGTTCTCCCATTTCATTTAGTTTTAGGCTCAAATGTCAGCTATTCATGGAGGTCTTTCCTGATCAACCAATAGAAAATAGCTCCTGCAGTCTGCAATTGTCAATGCTCTCATTAAGCATTGTTGATCTTCTTAGTGTTTATTACAAATTAATATACAATTTTTTTGTATATATCTGGCTGTAAAGGCAGAAAAATTATTTCTTTTTCACTCCTGCATAAGAAAAGACTAGAATAATACTTGGTAGATAATAAGCAATCAATAAATTTAATCATCTATCCATCCTCCCACCCACCTACGCATCTATCCATCCATTCATTTGTTCATTGATCCATTCAACACTTTTCCTTTTCTAGGTTCTACGTTTCAAATCACATGCAGTGATACTGTCAATGTATTAAGTCATGTATTTTTGGAAGGCAAGTGTGAAAAGAAAAGTACGGGTTTGGTGAAGCTAACAGAGACAAATTGGCAGACAGAAATAGATGTGTGTCTGTAGACTAATAATGGAATGAGTTGGATAGGAACATAGTTGCATCACTTGTGGTGTTTCCCTGAGTGACAAGCCCACCCACTCAACTGGAGTTCAGGGAAGAGGTCAAGTCAAGAGACAGTATTTGGGACTCATCTGACTAGGGGTGCTAGTTAAAACTGGCATATGCTGAGCTCCTGTCAGCAGCTGCTCCTACACACTCAGGAACTCTCCATTAACATTTAAACTGACTGTCAAGTCCATAATTTTGTCCTTTCTCCTCCATCAATTACCCTCTTCCTTCTACAATGTAAGTCTTCTCTAACCACTGAACATTTACCATTGTCTACATAGTTCTCCAGTATGTCCATTTTTAAAAGGATTTCACTTTACTATGCAGTCTTGCTCCATCTTATTTCTCTTTTCCTTGATTCCTTTACTTCCTAAGCATATTATATCACCTCAACAATTGTATTGAATTTGAATTCCCCAAGGTCACTAATCACAAATCCATTTATATTTTTTCAATATTCATTTCTTTAGACTTCACAGTAGAATCTGAGACCCTTGGCCACTACCATTTTCTTTGCATTTTTCATGCTTTATTTTTTTTCCAATGTTACTTAACAATGTTTCATTTTTCTTCCTATTGCCTGTATAGTCTTAGATTTTCTCTATATAACTTGACTTTTTCCTCTATGTTTTTATCATTTGATGTGAATACTTGCCCAAGGTCTGTTATTCACTCCCTGTAAATCTTTCTATAGTCTCTTGTCTTTAAAAACGTCATATAGCTTCATGACTTTGAATTTATACACTAGATATAAGCTTCCCTAGCCTACATCACCTGTTTAGTTTTCTTATTCCTCCAGCTCTGATAATACATCAACATCTGCTTATTATGTGTATTTATTTAAATGTACTGCAGATATTTAAATTTCATCATATTTAAAATATAACTTAAAAAATGATATATCCTGTCTTCTCAAACAGCTTTTTATGTCACTTAGCAAAGCTCTGACTTACCCTTCTTTCCAAAAACTGTTTTTAAATATTTGATAATTAGACAAGTATTGTTTTAGATACAGAGAAAGCTGAAAGGTTTTATTTATTTATAAGCAAAATGTATTTTAAAGAACATACATAAAAATATACCAAGGTATTTGCCTTTATTATTAGTCAGCTTATTCTTACCGGTTTGAGGCTTAAAGTAACAGTGATACTTCAGAAATCAGGATGGTAAAACTGTAGAGAGATATATAGATATAGATATAGATATAGATATAGATATAAAATATGTATACACATTTACATCCATACTCACATTTTTTTCTTGGTTCCTTTAAGCTGTACTAAACATCATATTACCTTCATATATACTAGAATGCCCATCAAATCACTCTCTAAACCTATGTCCCATGCTCTCTTATTCTGTCCAATTCCAAAGACAGCAATTGAGCAGCCAAGTTTGTTGGGGGAACTCTGGTTGTTGTATCTGGTCAAAACCAATCTCCCTCATTTCTGGCAATTCCCCTCTGTGTCTCAATATCTAATGACCTCTCCATAGATAGTGGGATTTCCATGCAATAGAAGTTTGCTACAGTTGTCCATATGTTTCTTTTAAAATGTTTAGCATTTGTATTTGTTTAAAAATTTTCCAATTTCAGAGAACATAAACAAGTTGAAAAAATTATTTATAGAACTTTATAAGGAAAGATACAGTTAAGTATGGGATGAGCAAAATTAATTTTTAATCAATAGATATGTTTTAATTCTTAACTATCTAAAATGCAAGTTAGAAATAAATGCATGTTCATTGGATTTATAGTCTGGAGTACGAGAAGAAACCCTGGAATTTTGAAGAGAGATGATGAAAAGGTGAGAAGGGAGTTCCATTTTTTTTTTTTTTAAGGGCAAAATTAAACAGAAGACATGGAGAATAAAGGGAAGAGGGAAAAGAACAAATTAGGAAAGAGGAGAATTATCAGAGAAATTCATAAATCAACAGATTCATAAGGTCTGACAGTCTCATTGTAGGGCTGTGCTATTACTAAAGCAATACAGTTTTGAATTACAATAAAATAGAAAAAATCGCATAGAAAGAAAAGCATAATGACCAAATACTCAAAAATACTTTAGTGATATAGATAATTCATTTTATTTATATGAGGACGAATAAAATAATTTCAAAAAATTGACATGACACGAAATAGTTCTAGAGCTGCCTAGATCCTTAGGTGAAGATTTTTATGTGTGTACAAACAGCACATGCAAAGTTAGATAGAAAACCATCAAGAATAACAGCTAGTGATTTATAGTAGAGTTAGTAGAGGTTAGGTGTTTAATGTTACTTAGGCATAATTTGACAATTTGATGGAGGTTTCAAAAGAGAGAAACTATGTGTATATGAATACATATTTACCTGTTAGATATTGATATAGTTTAGCTGTGTCCCCAGCCAAATCTCATCTTGAATTGTAGTTCCCGAGACCGGGCGCGGTGGCTCAAGCCTGTAATCCCAGCACTTTGGGAGGCCGAGACGAGCGGATCACAAGGTCAGGAGATCGAGACCATCCTGGCTAACATGGTGAAACCCCGTCTCTACTAAAAATACAAAAAACTAGCCGGGCAAGGTGGCGGGCGCCTGTAGTCCCAGCTACTCCGGAGGCTGAGGCAGGAGAATGGCGTAAACCCGGGAGGCGGAGCTTGCAGTGAGCTGAGATCCGGCCACTGCACTCCAGCCTGGGCGACAGAGCTAGACTCCGTCTCAAAAAAAAAAAAAAAAAAAATTGTAGTTCCCATAATGTCCACATGTCATGAGAGGGACCTGGTGGGAGGTAATTAAATCTTGGGGGTGGTTGCCTCCATGCTATTCTTGTGATAGTGAGTGAGTTCTGACGAGATCTGATGGTTTCGTTGGGGGCTTTTTCCCCCTTTGCTCTGCAGTTCTCCTTGCTGCCACCGTGTGATGAAGGACACGTTTGCTTCCCCTTTCACTGTGATTGTAAGTTTCCTGAGGCCTCCCCAGCCATGCTGAACTGTGAGTTAATTAAACCTCTTTCCTTTATAAATTACTCAGTCTCAGGTATGTCTTTATTAGCAGCCTGAGAACAGACTAAGACACATATGCATATATTATATAGGTCTAAAACATATGCATATATAATATATGCTTATATGTTATATAGTTATATCACTATATATCATTTTACATTGTTGGAGAATGGTTATATACTAGAAAATATCCTACATAATTGGTATCTTGTTAATGCTTATACAATTTATGAAATGTGTGTATTATGATTTTCACTTTAACAATGAGGAAAATAAAATTAAGAGATATTAAGCAACTTCTAGATTGCATAGTGCATGTTAAAAAAAAAGGTCTCAATGAGTCATAAACATCATGTTCTTTGTATTATAACATGTTGCCTCCCTATAGATATGAATGAAAATGAGGATATAATTTGCATGGATTAAGTGTCTGTATATTTCAAAATGTAGCCTGCAATTATACTTCAAAACACACTGTAAAAGACTGGTTTATTTGAGCTAAAATTTGTGAATCTAGGATTCCACAGTTAAAATGCAAATATTGTTAAACCGCTAACATGTGGTTATCTGTGACTATCAAATTTCCTAGCCCACAGTAATCTACCAGATCAATATCTAACAGTGGCAATAAAGAGGGAGAAAGTGATATGGAAAACTCTGGAGTACTGGCCCTACCTGGAAGAGGAAGCTCAGAAAAGACTGTTTGCAGGAAGGGCTGTGTGAATATGGAGAGGGCTGGGAGGTGGTGTGGAGTGAAAATAAGGAGGAAACATTGAGCTCCTTAGCTAAGAGAACAGACCTCAAAATGAAAAAGAAAATGTGAGAGGACCAAAACAACATTTTGAAAATTTCTTTAAGTGCTTTATATTTTATATTTTATTTTAAGACATGAAGCCAAAATTCAAGTTTGTATAACCACCATACTTTATTGATTTGAACATACATATGTTTTCACATTTTAAACTCTTCGAAATCAGGAGTTTATATTACATTTAGCATTATATCATAGCTAAATTGGCAGCGTTTTTTATTTCTTAATGGTGGTGCATTTTATAATTAATGGCACCTTAGATTTGATGAAGGATAGTAATAAGGTTCATCTGAGGATCAGAAGAAAATGTGTGTGAGTCTAAGGTCTTCCAATGATACCCAGCATTACTTCTGGTATAAATGCTATTCTGATCTAAATTTTCTTAGTCTTTAATTACAAGACTAATATCTTTTCTAAGCATGACAGTCAAGTTCCTTGTCTGCACCATTTTCCTATGAAGATGGTATGATAGTAATTGAGAAAATAGTAAAAACTTCCCATTTATATAAACAGTATATATAAAATCTGTGAAGTCTTCATGGCATTTAAAATAGAATATTAAAAATCTCACAGGATTCAAGGCACTTTTAAACAGTTTTGAAAATTTTGCAAGATGTTTGATTTTTGTAACCTTCTGTAGTCAAAGGAAATATTTTTATTTAAGTAGCTGGTTTGACATGTAAAGGTTCTGTTCAATCTAAAAGAAAGTCTTTAATAAATTGAGTGCTGTTAAGCTTCGAAAGAAAAGGTTTGAACTGTATGTTTCTAACTGGATTCTCAGTTTTTATTTTGTTTTTTAATAAGGCATAGTTTCCTATGCAGTAACATATGGTTTTAATATTTGAGCATTCTCAGCCATTTTCCCCATATGTTTGTTGTAATCAACTAACCACACATGGCCAAATCCTGCCCTTAGACAAGCATAGAAAATGCTCACTGAGGTCCAGGAAAACAAGCAGACTCCATGCAACAACCCATGGTCCAAAATCAGACTTTTTTTTTTTTTTTTTTTTTTTTTTGCTATTTGCACAATATTGAATGGTATAAATTAATGGTTATTAATATATTTTAGAAGTGACTTGGATTGTAGAGGTTTCTTTAATCTGTGAATGTCCAAGATTAATCTTGACAAAGGAGTTGCTGAACGACTTGGAGAATGTTGTGTGCAAAGATATGCATGTGTTAGGTAGTGGGGTGGGGAGCATCAAATCTAATGTCAGAGTTATCCAAGGCATTATTCATTTATTTTATTCTTCCCACAATTTTAGCATTCTTCAAGGCATATAGTGTACATCATCTGCCCTCATAGACTTCTATTCTAGAGGCATAATATTAATACCAACAGTAAACAAGTAAACTAATAAATAACCCAGGACATTTATGTAAGTAAATCAATCTGATTAAACAGTATAATGTTATTTAAAGTAATAGGAGGATTTTTCCTGGCATTGTTAGAGAAAATTCTTTCTCTGAAGAGGTGTTACTTGACCTGAGATCACAAAGGTGAGACCCCAGCATGTGAAATCTGGAGTGAAGGTAACAATGTACTAGAAAAGGGATGGCTCTGAGGCTTGAATGAGCTCATGATTCTGGAGAAAAGTAAGATCAGAAGTACAGGCAGGAGACAGAACACACAGATTTGTGTAAACCATGTTAAGTTTTATGGATATTAGTCTAAGCACGTGGAAGTGTTTTAAGCAAAAGAGTGATGCAAACTGATTTATTTGCAAATTTATATTTAAATATCTCATTACAGTTGCTTTGTCAAACAAATGACTACATCAACAATAATTTAGGATACTAATGGCAGATACAGATAATTTTATTCTTTGTTGGGAATAAAAATTGTGACACTAGCAAAGCCATTTCAAGGATATATGAAAAATCCGGGACATAATTTTGGTCTTCTTGAGGCATAGAATCCTCATCTACATATATACAATCCAAGAAGAAATCTTCCTGTGAGCCTTAAGGAGGAAATTAAGCTACAAAATCAATCTCATGTGAACCTCACATAATTAACGTAAACACACTGACGTTTATGAGAATTCTTAGAAAACTTTAAACAAATAGTGTACTAATAGTACTATTGTGACAGGTAAAGATTTTGAAAGTCGGAAAAAGGATACATTTTGAAATTATAAAGTGATTTGCAAAAATTGAAGTTCGGCAGATGCTTATATAGTAAGTCTTTCACTAACCTGCTGCAATTTCAATTTGTATCAATTTTATTCACTTTAAATGTGACACAGTGATATTCATACATCAATATTAACGATATTACAATTATTTGAAAGGTTTACTTTTCAAAACAGCAAAAGGAAATTATTTGATGTATAGGAAAGTAATTACCCAGTATCTAATCTTCTTGCTTTGGTCCTCTAAGATGATGAGAAAAGTAAAGTCAAAGGAAAATAAATAAGTAAATAAAAGTTTGGAAACATCTAACAGATACTCCTTATAGATTTATTTTCCAACGATTTTCAGGTTGTTTTTTGGTTTTACGGTCTTCACTAAGTTCTACGTCACTTTTAAATAGTTCCGTATGTTCAATGACATATAGAGTTGATCTCAAACCAGGATTGACCTTTAAAAGGCTAAATAAATTGGTAGTCTTATATATTGTCAGGTGATTGGATTTTGGAGATTTTAACACAGCATGAATTTTTTTTGTTGTTGTTTTGATGCTTTTGTATCTCACTCTGTCTCCCAGGCTGGAGTGCAGTGGAGCGATATCAGCTCACTGCAACCTCTGCCTCCCGGGTTGAAGCGATTCTCCTGCTTCAGCCTCCCAAGTAGCTAGGATGACAGGTGCACGCCACCAAGGGCATGGATTTCTAAAGTAATCTGTGGACATTTCCTACTCATTAGCTGTATTAGTAGTAAATTGATTTATACTGTGCTAACACAAGAATTCCAAATTTCAGTGGTTCAAAATAAATTTAATTTCCCCTTTATTGTCTATGTGGTTGACAAGAAGATTCTGCTTTTCATAGTCACTTGGGAATCCAGG